CCGGTGAGGGCTCAGCCATGATTTCTCCAAGTCCCACTTCCGCTCCATCCTCTCCTTCCCTCCCAGGACCGGCGCCACACACGTTACACTCCTGCACGGTGCCGCGCAATTCTCTCATGTCCTCCCCCGTATGTCCCATCCATGGCCTCTCCATGCTTCCTCCGTGTAGTCCCCACAAAGCTCCGTTCTAGCTCATGCCTCCTCCCCCTGCTCGCACAGGGACCCTCTTATTCTGAGCAGAGTGCCTGCAGGCTGTCCCCTCCCGCACACCTCCTACTGGGGATGTGCCCGCAACCAAGGCATGTGCCCTTGACCGGAATCGAACCTGGGACCTTTCAGTCTGCAGGCCGACGCTCTATCCACTGAGCCACACCAGGCAGCAGTTTGATCTTTTGTGTGAATGCACTGCCCCCTTAGAAATGGTTACACTGTCAGTCTGTTGCTTGTATTTTACCACAATTACAACCTTACACCGCCTTCTTGTCCGTCTCCAGGCCTTTTCACTGCTCTGGTGAGAACAGAAGCATCTGCTGTTCAAACTAGGAAACTCACATCTGTGATCTTGGTGAGGCCTCGTGTGAGCTCAATGCTCTGCATTTAAAACTGGCGTCACACAGGGTAACGGTGAAGAAAAATTCAAAATTTTCATTATTTTAGTATTGATTTTATTAGCACTTGGTATTCAGAATACCAATGAAGTAAATTTTTATTTTTTACTTAAAACCACATTAGCCTGGCTGGTGTTGCTCAGTGGTTGAGCATTGACCTATGAACCATGTGGTCACAATTCAATTCCCGGTCAGGGCACATGGCTGGGTGTGGGCTTGATCCCCAGTGTGGGCCGTGCAGGAGGCAGCCAATCAGTGATTCTCTCTTATCATTGATGTTTCTCTCTCTCTCTCTCTCTCTCTCTCTCTCAAAATCAATAAAATACGTTTTTTAAAAAATAAGGGGACGGGTCAATGGGGGAAAAAGGAGACATGTAATACTTTAAACAATATTTAAAAAAAGAATTTCTTTTCTTTTTTTATTCATGTCAGAAACTTGCTTCCCAGCTCTATTGAGATACAGCTGTCCTAGAACACGGGTAAGTCTAACAGTGCAACATGTGGATTCAATACCCTCATATGATGCGCAGTTGATGCCACCATAGTGTTGGCTGACACTCGAACCCGCAGCTCTGAGGTGGGAGCCACCGGATTTCCTGCCCATGAGGCCCCGGTGGGTCTGGGACTTGTGGGGGCACAGTGGTGCCTGTGGTCCTCGGAGTGAGGTGTCGCCAGGGTGCTCTGCTGGGACCCGGCTCCTGATTTCAGGCTGGGCTTGGGCTCTGCCGCTGGCACCTCCTGTCACGCTGTCCCCACAGCTCCTGTGGGCGAGGCACAGGCTCTGGCCCCAGCTTTCTTGGGGCTCAGTGTGCGGGGACATCAAAGGGGGGCACATGTCTACATCCCCCAAGGCCCCAAGAACAGCAGGAGACCAGAGGGTGTGGGTGGAGGGCGGCAGGCAGGGCGGGCAGCAGGAGAGGCATCCGGTGGGGCCTGGGCTGGTGCACCTGCTGCCCAAGGTCCAGCTGCACGTCCTGCGTCCCTGCCCAAGGACGGCCGTCACCACTGGGCGCTGAGTACACCATCCGTCTCCAGTGTCCAAAGGGCCTTGGCTGGGCCTGACTCATCGCCCAGTGGAGGAGTCCTCGGGGCAGGCTCAGGAGCAGGGAAAGTAGGAAACCACTGGGCCTGGCCCGCGGGGCTCAGTGGGTGAGCGTTGACCTATGAACCAGGAGGTCACGGTTCAATTCCTGGTCAGGGCACAGGCCTGGGTTGTGGGCTGGATCCCCAGTGGGGGGCGTGCAGGAGGCAGCCAATCAATGATTCTCCCTCATCATTGATGTTTCTATCTCTCCCTCCCTTCCTCTCTGAAATCAATCTATAATAATAAAAGCCTAATATGCAAATGGACCAAATGGTGGAACAAAAGGTCACTATGACACGCACTGACCACCAGGGGGCAGACACTCAGTGCAGGAGCTATCCCCCGCCCGCAGGCCCCAGGCCAGCCAAGGCAGGTGCCAGCAGGTCCCCCACATCACCCTGCCAGTCGCCCTGCAGATTGGCCCTGATCGCCAGCTAGACCTAGGATCCTACCCGTGCACAAATTTCATGCACTGGGCCTCCAGTAAAAATAGATTTAGAAAAAAAAGTAAGGAAACAGCACTGGGAGTGTGGCCCTCCCCGCTAAACACACACGCCCTCCGTCCTGCCTCTGCAGCCTGAGCAGAGGCCTCATGGCCCCAGCCCCAGCCCCAAATCAGGGTCAGGCCGGTAGGCTCAGCTCTGGGGACCCCGATGTGCCAGGGACCTTGGGAGGTCACAGAGCCCTAGGCCTCAGTCTCCTGGTCTGAAAATGGGAACAGCGATTGTGAGACCCACTTGGTGGGGATGCTGCCCGGCGGCACTGAGAAGGCAGCATGGACCCAACACAGTACCCGGCCCAGGTCAGCTCCATGGTGCGCCTGCTGGGATGACCCCAGGAGAGTGGGGAGCCCACCACCACTCCATCTGCCCCTCGGCCTGCCCCTGAGAGCCCCCTTCAGGGTGAGCAAGCGGGTGTGGGCACCAGGCACAGGGCACAGCCCAGGGGTGGGCAGGACCAAGGCGAGCTGTGTCCTATCAGCCTCAGGAGTGGCCCTTGGCTCCTAGGTGCTCACTCAGCTGGACCAGCAGCCGGCCAGACAGGTCCCTGGTGCCTAGTGCCACCCCACTTCCGCCTCTGGGTTCCTAACTGCCGGGGTGGAGGGTCGCCCCTGGGAGGGACCCTGGCCAGCATCTGTCTCCACTGCCTGCAGCCGCGTGAGGCCTGGGAGGCGTCAGCCACATCCGAGGTAAAGGGGAGGAACGCACAGCCACCCGCCTTCCTGAAAGGAGGTAAAAATAGCCAAGGCCCCTCTCATCTGATAAGATAAGGCCCTATCCATCTTGCTCCCTTCAACATGGGGGCGCGGGAGGCCTGGTCTAGCCCAGCCTGATCCAGCCCCCAGTCCTGACCCCGCACCTGCCCCGGACACTCACCAGCCCACAGCAGGCTGTGGGGAACCTAGGACAAGGCACCCACCCACATCCCCATCTCCTTTGGGAGACCCCACCAGCCCTGACCCTGCCAGCCCTGACCCTGCCGGCCCTGACCCCTTCCCGGGCATCCTGGCCTGGTCCAGGGACACTTTCTCCCATGACGCCATCAAGCCTCTGAGCGAGATAAGAGAGTCGGGTGGAGGGGCGAGGGAGCCGGGCATGGCATTCCGGGCCAGGGCGGCCGTGAGGATGGCAATGCAACTGCAGTGCTTGTGGTCAAGATCCTGGGAACACAGACATGCAATGGACCCGGCCAAATGGCAGAGGAAGGCCGAGGGCTGGAGGAACCCCTGAGCTGGTGGCCGGGGACGTGGCCCCCACGGCTTTGCCTCTGTCCCAGGTATGACGTGGGAGGGAGGCACATGGTGTGCGTGACGCTGCCCGAGGACGTGGAGAAGCTGAAGCAGGCGGAGGGCCCCCAGCCCCGCAGGATGGTCCTGGAGCCCTGGCTGGCCCACCGGCAGCAGCGCGGGCACAAGCACGGCGTTCTTGCTGT